CGGCTTCAAAATATCAGTAAAACTCACATCCGGACGAAAGAAATCCACTCACCCGGCCTGTGGCAGACACGCCCGAGTAAACGCAGGCCCGCTTCTTATCGGAGCAGGGCTTACAGGGTCGTCCGACGTCCTTGGGCCCGACAGAAGCCTATGTCCATCAGACAAAAAACATCGGCCGACGAAATGCGCTACTCACTGCAGGCCCGGACGAAGCGGACTTCTCAGCAAGCCTCTTCCGGGTCTCCTCTATGTCCTTCTTCTTCTGCTCCTCCCTTAATCTCTCCTCCTCCTTCAGCCTCTCCTCCTCCAAACGCTTCTCCTCCTCCAAACGCTTCTCCTCCTCCAAACGCTTTCTCTCGGCTTCCATTTCCGCGAGTACTCTCTCTTCCTCCTGGGCCAGCTCTTGCTGCGCTGCGTTTAGCCGGGCCCGGATGGCCGCAAGCCGGGCATTGGTAGCCGGGGTAGAGTCGGATGGGGTCTGGGACATGATAGTGGATTTGGTGGGTGGTAAGAATCAAAGGGAATGGCGTCCCATCAAAGACCCTCAACCCTTTATCAATTTTTCGCTAAAAAATCTGGGTCCGTTCTCGCGCTCTTATCATCGGATCGGACATCCGGCCTCGGCCTCGTGGGCTCGGCCTTAATGGGGGGATACTGTCATATTCCGTACCTGAAGCTTCTCGTCCGGTCCGGTCCGTCCGTTCTCTCGGTTCCATTCTAGAATTCATTTCCCCGTGTCCCCATTTGTATATGCTTCTTGATGCCCCTATACGCCCGGATCCTTCTGACAGTTAATATCCGGGTTCATTCTGATCCGTCTGTTAGTCTATTCATTTCCCTTTCATTTAACTTGTCCCCCCTGTTTCATTTAATCTCCGGCTCCATTCTCAATCGTCCGCAGCAGTTCATATCTGTTAGTACATTTCCTACATAGCCCTCTGATCCGAAGACTGCGCTTCGGCCGGAAACCTGTCGGATACACTACAGTATATAAACCCTTTGTAACCCGTAGTATTTCCTCAGTTCGAATATTAACTTAGACTCTGTTCAATCCTCGTGTCCTCTCGGCTCTTGGGATTATTACCCTAGTCCGATCCTCCGAGCCTCGGGATTATATCCCTAAGGCTAAATACCTCCGCCTCTACCTTCGGGTAGTCTTCTCTCTCTCGTCCGGCCCGTCTATACCCTTCAGCCGACGATATCCAACCCCCTGTAAATTAGGGGCACGTACTCGGGTAAAGAGCGCAGCGCACGAGCTGAAGCTAAGCCCCTCCGGTCCGACCCGTTGAACACGGTCTTAACACTGACCATCCATGTCCATCCATCCCCATTGGTGCATTATTTGTTCTTTCTCTTTCTTGTCATGCTGATCATCCACAGTCCATATTACATGTATGTTCCCATGCACGAGGCCACTTGTTACCATTACATATTATTGCACTACAGACTAGCCTGTACTTACCACTGCCGCTCAGAGGACTCCGAATTCTTACAGATCACAATAAATAGTTGTACTGATCTCTGCCAATATCACTTTATTCTACTTCCTTGGATTTTGTGTCTAAGTCCGTGTGATCAAGTCCCCTTAGCTTTCTGTACCGCAGACAGATCTTAGCACGGACACTTGTGCTTCCGCCATCACCATACTCAGTCAACTATCATCTGTTCTACAGATCACTTCTGGTAGCTCATTACATCAAGACCTTGATACCTTGATACATCACTAAGTCACAATTGCACTGCTAGACATCCGTTCTGTCAGGTCCGCCTCTGTCCGGACATCAGTTTTTACACTGGACTTTCTTTTCTGCCTTCGCATCAGCCGCATAGATCTTAAGCCCATAGGGTTGATTCCTTTGCACATATAACATGAAGACTTTCCTTCAGTAGTAATCCCCTTGGGATGAGCACTTATATTTGCACTCATCTGCATTGGTAGTCTACACCAACAAGCTACACGGAATCACTTTCACTCATCGGATTGTCCTCCCATGTCCTATCCTGTCTGTCCAGCTCCATTGGTGCATACTCTCATTGTTATTACCGTCGCTAACCACATACAGGGTCTCTTGCACATAGTGTTACATACATATCTGCTTCCATTGTGCTTCCGCATCCTTTGAGCATGTGTAGCTACACATATATCTAAAGGAATCAGAACAATTTGTACTTACTTACTTTTCCGTACTTGGAGTGTTTATTTGTTTTTGGCCGACTTACACTTAGAGCGCTAATATCATCATCACATTTGTCTATCATCTGTCTAGTTGCAGTGAGACTCATCTACTCCATCTCTTAAGGATTCCTATCATTTGCCGCTGTCGGCTCTCTGTTCCACACATAAAATGCATTGGCCATTCTGTTTCGCATACTTCGCATATCTTGCGCACCCGTCGCATTATCTCCACGCATTTATACACACCTTCACACAGTCTTGGCTTCCCAGCGGTTTTGATCCTCTCATCATCTTATAGAGATTAGACTCAGTAGCATCCCTTTGGGATGATTCTACTTAGCTTGCCTCTAGAGGTTATTTATTTGTGACTTCCAGAGTTAGCATCCCTATTTCCTCACCCACAACACAGTCAGCAGAGTTCTAAGTTGGCATGAGGAATATATGTAAAGGTTAAGTTGACAGGCGCAAAGAAAATGATACAGGAACAATCAAGAATGGAGACAGTGGTGAAGTGTTGAATGGATCCAGGCATAGGAGATATGATTGAGAATGAAGTCAGATATTAACTGTCAAGCAGATCCAGGCATATAGGGGTTAGGACAAGGGGACTATACAAATGTGGTAACAGAGTAGAAGCAGGGGCGGAAATGAACTGTCAGGCAGATCACAAGAAATGGGGACAGAGATGAACTATCAAGTGGATCCAATGTTTTAGGGGTTGAGTGGATCTAACATTTAGTAACTCGAGGTATGCAAAAGGAGTGGAGGAGTGGAGGGTCTCTAGACAAGAGGTGCCAATGATGTATGACATGGGATGGCAGACTAGCTGCAGAGATCCGGACTTTGTATCGACAGGTTAGGGGAAGGAGGGTGGATCCTGCTGAGGGGTATGTCCAATGAAAACTGGGATGTGGGATTATCCTGCCGATGAGTGGGCATAGGGTGAAGATATAGCTTGGCTACCTTTCAAAAATACGGACATTATTTGTCAGGAGAGATGGAATATGATTTAGGGGGCTCCATGTATGGTATATGACAGGGTGTGCCTACCCTGTATGATCTTCTAGTCAGTCTGGGCATAGGCCATACTTCAATAATTAGGTTAGTGGATGTGGGAGCGGAGCTAGATTATTTTCCTGGCACCATACTGTTCATTTGCGGTAAAGTGTTGGAATATGCTGTTGCGCCTTGGATTAATAGAAAAAATATGTTATTGCTTATCTCATGAAGGATAAAGTTCATGATGGGATGGGTGTGCCTAGGCCCACATTTGGTTAACAGGGAATAGGTGATTACTAAAGCATGGATTTTCTCTGTGCCCAATGTACTATATTAGGTGTTTATTCCCCACCCAACAGATTTAAAGCATGCTGACCTAATTAAATAAATGCACAAGTATGGATTTCCTCTTACCCAATACAAAGCCTTCTCTGTCCTGTTGTGATGGAAATAATACCAGCATGCATTCTTCATCCCCAAGACGTTGGTTGAGAGTACAAACCAGGTGATCTAGCGCCTTCTTGGCTGCCATCAGAGGAACATGTATAATGTGCATCCCTATTCCATGATGATTTGTCGAGGACCTGACTTCAATCAAGTTGTGCCTCTTTATGTGGTATGGTAAGATATAGCTGTCCAGCCAAAGACTTGGTCTGGATGGCAGATCTATATATTGTTATATTTGTCTACGAAGACTTTCATGAACTTCTTCCCAAGATGAGACTCCAGGAAACTATGAACCTTCTGTAAGCTGGTGGGGAGGGAAAAATGAAAATGTTTTTTGCTTGGCAATTACAGCGCATGAGCAATGTTCCACTTGAATGAAAAGAATCTGAATCTCTTCATCAACATGTTTGGAGAAACAGTAATTGTAGCACCAAAGTCCAGTGGCAGCTGTCTTGCAGTACTGTAAGAGACACACTACAATGACTTACACCTGACATGCAGTCGCCCGTAATGTAGGGAACACCACATTTCTTCAAAGTCCGCTGGCATTAACTGTTAGCCACAATTTACCACTTCAGTCAACCACTTGAAATGACCTCTTAGGTCCATGTGTTTGTGGCTAGCAAAGAACCTACTAGGTGTCTTCTAGGATGATACTCCCATTATTTTACCCTATGTTCTGGGATGTCCTGGCCCACACTGAAGCAAGTATCTGGGCTATCCCAAATACCTATTTGTGATCTTTCCCAATCCCAACTGGGATCACTCTAGCATGTCTCTGGGATTTCCCGGTTCATTTATTAGGTGGGCTTTCCCATGATAAATATGAGTGATAGGGATCCTTTTTCAAAAAATCCAGGACATTGGAATCCACAATTTTGTACAATTATGGGAAGCAGTGGTGGGTATGTACATTGTTGGTACAGACATAACACAAATTCAGGCCCCTGAATGATAGCACTAATGCGGCCTAGATGCCTTAATAGCAACAATGGAACAACAGGCGGGAGAGCCCAGTTGATGTGTACAGGGTTGGTAGGAAGGCCCAGTTGCCAATAGAATGATAGGCGGGAGAGCCCAGATGATGTGAAATGGGTTGGTGGAAGAGCCCAAATGGTCTTTCCCAACTCATAGTAAGCACACATCATTCATTTGGCGGTACTGGCCACATAATGTACCTATTCACTGTTTTTGCTATTCTAGGCCGCATTAGTGCTATCATTCAGGGGCCTGAATTTGTGTTATGTCTGTACCAATTGCCTTACCAATGTACATACCCACCGCTGCTTCTCATAATTGTACAAAATTGTGGATTCCAATGTCCTGGATTTTTTGAAAAAGGATCCCTATCACTCATATTTATCATGGGAAAGCCCACCTAATAAATGAACCGGGAAATCCCGGTCCCAAAATACCATTGGTTGTCCACAGCGGCTGCCCGCCATTCAATGGACATGATAACAATGATAACAATAGTTGGGTCCACAGTTGTGGTGTCCATCTACTGTTGCCAGTTCAATGTGTCCAATGTTGGAGTGTGTACTATGACCGTCCACACTATGTGGTAAGCAGCTGCAATAGGTCATCCCTATAAAAGACTCACCTTTGCAATCACAGGTCTCTTTTCCTCCTCCATCATCATCCCCAACACCATATAAGATAGCAACCTTAGTATAGTTAATATATCATTACAAAGTATCTATCTAGGAATGCCAAAATGCACCACCTCATATCCCAGGAGGAGTGTTATGCCCATACTAATATTACTACAGCATTGCCCTTATCGCCCTTGACAGATCGTCGAGTATAGGACATCTTCAAGATTTTTTTGACCTCCAAAGCATCCAGCTACAACAATATGCTCACCAAGTTGACTAATTACCTAGGTGATTCTTTCATCGCAGAAGACTGGTCAGAAGCGACCACTGCCCTATTTTCAGGCGATGATGATGATGAGCTATCTCTTCCAAACTTTTGTATTGTTTGATCAAAGTACTTGACAGATGGTGCATCTACAGTAAGTTTTCTTAATCTAATTTATAACAAAATACTAATTTGAACTATCAGACTTCAGATATCATTATGGAACATGAAGGGTGAGGTCATAGTGGTGGATGATGAAGAAGACATTCCACTATCCTGGCTGCTGTCCCCAGCATATACTAGATGGGCCTTCTGATGAAAACTTTCCACTGATCCCCATCCCAATGACATCCAGCTTCACCACTAAGCCGGATGGGATATTTCCTTTACCCAAAAGGCTGAGATCACATTCTCAAAGCTCTCCTTGCAAGCTGGAGACACTGTTCACCTTCACACACCAGATCTGCACTATGTTAATGACAGATCACACCTTCAGGGGTTTAGTAACTCTTGAGTTCAAATTGAATGACAAGATATGTTTGCAATTCATGAGGCTCTATGCGCCTTAATTCAAATGGTCTGAACATTTGGCCCAACATATTCTGCAGCTGCTTCCAAGGATCTTATAGTAGCCGGAATTTACATAAATATCAATTAGGTTCTCCCAGCGGCTTTCTCCTAGATTTGAAATATCTGAACAATCTCAAAGTACTTGAGACATATGGAGTATACCTCCGGGATATATGTAGCAGGCATCTGTTGTACATGGCAACAGGGTTGGTTATGTCATACCATGCTTGTTGCAAACTTTTATGTAACTGGTTGATACAATTGTACTTGTATCTTCCAAAGCCTGCATGCAATCTTGTGACAATATCATTCTTGATTAGACACAAGGCAATAGCAGAGATAATGGTCACTATGTATTCTAATCAATGCCAAGGATTTTAAATCTATATGATCTATACTTTGCACTTTAAATGGTGCATCTCATCTGTTCCACCACTTGCAAGCAACCTCATCACCACCCCAAGCCAAGCCTTGGATAACTCCAGTGCCACTTTAACAACTTTTGCAACTTGTCCTCCATCATGTCTATCTCCGCCCTCAAAAACATACTCAACTATGCCACCAGTAGCTTCATGCATCTCTGCCCATCCGTTGATGTCAATGTGGTGTGCTTAAATAAATGGCAGATAAGGCTTTTTCAGAGCTGGTTGAACATGCATACACACCCTCAACCAATCACCAGTCATCATCTTGTTTGCTAACACATATGTTAGCCAAAACAATGTCTGACAATGTGTGGTTGATACCAGAGTCCTCGCATACTCCAACCTTGAGAATGGGAGGCTCTGGGGCTAGATATCTACCAATGTTTGAATGAGCAATGCCAGGCTCCAGGGTACAACATGATATTTATTTGAAGCAGGATCCAATAACCTACACCTATGTGTCCTCTGGTATACCTACAATCACCCCCTATCTGGTCATTTTGGTCAGAACTGCACTCTGGAACTTATCCACTAAGAATATACTTGGCCAGGAATCTGCATGTATGTTAAAGACTATGTTAAGTCGTGCCTGTGAGAAATATCACCCAGAAATCCAGAAGTTGACTTGGAGGCTTCTTCAAGTTGTGCAATGTCTTCAACCAGTTGATGTAATGTTGCTTTTGTATAAAGTTGCAGTGTGTATATCCAACAAAGCTTCTTTTGGCCTCCAGGATCAGCACAGGAATATTATAGATTGATCAACACAAAGTACACTACAAGGAAATCGGGAATGAGGTCCTGACACGAGCTCTCGACATCTTCACAGTCCTTGTCCAACATGCCAAGAACAGCAGATTGGGGCTGGGAATTAATGGATGGTACCTGATGTCACACCTGCACTTGTGGCTTGATGAGAAATTGCTCGGTAGATGAGAAATAGGTATTTAATAGTCCATTGATGGGCCCATACAAGGACAATCTGTAATGCACACCTATACTAAGTTTCTCGAGGCACAATCTTAGCCATGGTGGAATTACCAGATGAAACATTATATATAGTATAGTACCAGTGGCTAGATGCAGATGACAGTCTAAGTGTCAGATAGATATTACAAAATGTGCACCTCAGTGAGAGTAATAGACAATGAGATGAAGCAGTATGTAGGCAGCTATGGAGGATCTGTGGCTGGCTGAGCGTTGAAGGTGCTATGCAGTTCTAGAGACATAGGAAAAAGAAAGGACATATACAGAATGTCCAAGGTATGATCATGTCAACACCAGGTAGATGTTTCCCACTATCATCCAAGGGGTCATCCCTCGACTGTCCAACAATGCTATGTCTCTGGGCCAAAGTTGGTACTTTCCTGATACAGTAAGTTCAGGCTACTGAGTGACCAAAGAAGACTAGGACTAGAGTCCAGAGTAAGAGTAAGTTGCCAATGTATAGAAGTATAGTAAAGGTAGGTATATAGTACCTAGAGTCCAGAGTAAGTCGGCACTGGACTCTAGGATATGAGCGATGTATGATAAACAAATGTAATCAGAGAAGCCAGAACACAAAGGTAAGGGATAACTCAACCTAGACAAGTCCTAGGGAGGTCAGGAAAGTAAGTGAATGGATAGAGACATATAGGTAGTCGATATATAGATATAGAGGCTATAAAATGAGTAGAAATGTGTACAGTAGAGGTGAATGATCATGTAACTAACACTTCCCCCTGATATAATAGAACAAGTCAACCTTGACTTGAGGTAGGGCCTTGGTCAGAATGTCTGCAGACTACTCTGCAGTGGGGACAAAGACTGGTGAAATCATCTGTCTGTCCACCTCATCGTGCAGCCAGTAGAAGCACAAGTCCAGCTGTGTCAGACAGACAAAGTGCCTGCTGGGAAATCTATTTCCATATGATCCTGCCTTACACATGTCACAATCAAGGTGTCTCACTCAAATGCAGTTCTCCATTTGCTCCAGCTGGCTCACAACCTTTCATTGTTAGCCATTTGCATCAGGCTTGCAATCAGCTATGCTAAAGCACTCAAGGATGTCAAGTGAGTACTGATGCTGGGCGAGGCGTCAATGGTATCTGGCTTGAGTAGGCAGTTTGACACCAATGACAATAGAAGAAGTGGGTGGAGGAGGAGCTGGGTCTGCTGCTGGCACAACTAGTATGTGTGCAGGTTGAGGAGGCACTGTATCAGGCCTTGGAACACCAGGTCTATTGCCAGAATGGACATCTGGGACAGCTAGGTCTACTGTAGGCGGAATAGCCAGTGCAGGAGGCACTGGAGTGATGGCAGGTGGGACTGGTGGACCTGATGGATGCCTCTCTCACCATGAAACACCTCAATTTTGACCGCAACTTACATATGTTTTTCTAAGGGTTGGTGACTTTGTGACTCAAATTGATGAGGTGGAAAAGGTAAAGGCTCTCTAGATGGTGACAGCCCATTGAGAAGCAACAGCTTATCAAGAGGCAAGGTCTCTCCAAGAGGTGGCACATCCTCTGAGCCTGGAGGCATCATACAGATGTCATCAACAGAAAAGATGCCCTAGGCTCCTGATGAAAGTATGCATAAGTGCAATAATGTAGAAGTGATAGGTTGCTACAAGCATCATGATTGCCTATAGGCAGATCAGAGGAGGCGGAGTTTGAAAAGTTAATCATAAACACTAACAGCTATTCACCAATATCAATCCCAGTCATGGTGGGGTGATTATCGGGGTAGCCAAGGAAGTTGAGGTCTGCTGTGACTGGAAATAGGTCATTTGAGTCAGGCATTGGCTGAGCTGCTTGTCATTTGACCTGGTGGTGTAAGTTATATCAAAATTTTGGTTGACATGGCCACAGTGCACATCAAGGAAGTTGAATGGCCATTTGCCAGAGCCTGAGTACATGGTGTCACTAGTAGATCAGCAGCCATTTAGACTATAAGCTTTATTACAGCTATTAGTAACACAAAACCTTCAGAAGATTGAGTCTGGGATAGATAATGATTATAATCGAAAGCTTCGACTAATTGATAACTGCACAGCCAAGCAAAGAGGTGCAGGTACTATGTCAGAAATTTCTAATTTGGCTTTCAGCACCAGTACGTTTTAATAATAGAATCAATTGACCTTTATGTAAATCCCACTATAGTACTTCAATTGGGGTGCAACTTCAGATTTCCAATTATACAGCATTTTGAATATGGTTGCTGTAAGGCAAGTCACATTGAATCGAGGTGGAAGTACCAGTAAGTATATGTAGTTTGGCTCTAAGAATGCATAATATGATACATTGTGTTTTGCTGTATATCGTTGCTGTATATCGAACTGAACTGTAATCCAGCCTCTCAGGTAACCTATCTCTAATCTCCAGTGCCACTGTAAGTACTCACACCTGCCAGCCTTGTGCCATGGACAATTCATTAAAAATTGTGAGCTCTTTGACCCTCAGTGACAGGATGTCACCCACTACCCCCTTTGTTGGTCCTGGAGTGAGTGTGTGAGAGACCAGATAATAGATGCAACAAGTGTACTTTGTTGTCTTGCTGTTGTTCAAGGACGGTTGCGCATATAGAGCTCTGTGTGCTCAGGGGACGCATGCACATATAGCCATAACCAGTGACTCGGATGCCAATGCCAAGTACTGGCCTACTTCTTTGCATAAGGCAGATTGTCAAACATGTCTGTCTCACAGAAGAAAGTGGAGCTGTGAGTAAATAGTGTCCAATATATTTATATTATCGAGTGGAAACAGCAAGGAAACAGATGACATCAGTTGGGTTGAGACCAATGAATTTTGCCACAATTCACTGCAGATTCAATCACATTGCAACATGACTGCTAATATTGATGTCCATGCATTCTATATTAAAAAGGCTACCACAGCTTCTTATTGGATTGTGGATACAGTAACCAACATCGGCTAGCTCAAAGCCTCTCTCCAGCAATAAGTGAGACTCAAGTTTACTTAAGTTTGATAGAGAATGGCTACAACTACCTGAAATCCATCCTGATCTAGATTCTGTTCTTTTTGCTACAAGTAAGCATTCACTTGCGGCAACCACGACTCAAACCTTGGTGAGTCCTGCCCATATGAAAAATCAAGAGTTGATCAACCTGGTTGTATCAATGAACAACACCCTTAGAATCAAGGACAACATGAGGGTTGAATTGTTGAACAGGATGACTTTTGTAAAGCATTGCAAACATTTCAGTATGATCAACTGTAGAGGGAGGAGGATGCAAGACAAATTTTCTAGCAATACACCAAGAATGTGGAGTGACAGCTGGAGGATACTCAGTGTTAATGTAATGTCCTTAAGCAAAAGCATAGCCTTGACCAATCACGAATCAAATTCTTAGAGGATAGACAACAAGAGAACAGATTGCATATTAAGGACCTAGAGGATAGCCAACAACAGGACAGCTCACAGATTAAGGACCTGGAGAATTCACTTCTTAAGGAGAAGAAAATTGAAAATCTGGCTAGTGAGAAGGAGAAGGAAGCTAGTGAGAAAGAGAATATGTACATGCTAATGAGGATCCAGGAGATTGGAGATAAAAACATCAAAACTGCTGGGTGGGTCAGTAGTATGGTAAGTATCAGTGATCTAATGCAATAATGATGTTTGAACCATTGGTTAGCATATGAAACTCTTGAATTGCATTTTACTCCGCCACTTACTTTATCTTGTGCAAGTGAAGCTAGTGTTGCATCTGGACTTCCCAAGCGAAACAAAACCTTTTGTGCACCATGGATGTCCTTTGATGCTACCACAAAACAATTTGCTTCATCTAACACTAGGATGAAAATTGTGGTCCAGAGACCATTGACACACTATCACTGGAAATCATGCTGGACTTCATGTTATCTTAGACAATCTTGATCCTGTATCACAGTCCACCTGGTTTCACATCATGCATGTATCATTTACAATGTTGTATGTTTTTTCTTTTAGCCCAAGTGACAAGTACAAGTAGGCAGATTTTACCAATGTACATGTATGTCAGTTGTGTGCCATTGGATTTTCAGTGACATGTCAATGCATCATATATTGCAATGAGAACTTTATGGGCTGCTTCTATAGGCATCTACAATGTCTAAGGCCCGACCTGATTTGAAGTTGCACCTTTGGGTGGTTCATTGAGTTTGGGGAGCATCACCTTGAGTGTATCAACACGCGCACGACAGGTGCTCTCTCTAGAGAGGTTCTCATAAGGTTCGGATAGCTGCCAAATTTCCTGACCTAAATTGCCGATGGTCCTCTCCATTGTCCACTGGGCATAGCACACGGGAGGGCTTTCTGCACAGCTTTGGCTACAAGGTGATTAACTTGATGAGCGCACGGACAGATGAAATGAATGTGATCCTTTCAGCATTGATAGTACAATTTTTTGAACTCAAATTCCCACTCTGCCAGTATGTCGTTAGCGGCTCATATTTCTGCAAAACTGATGTGGTGCTCCCTCTTGGTCAATGTGGTTGGCAGACTGTTCATGTTAAGTTTGGTCAATGGGCCAAGGTGAATCACTAGCTCAATCATAAAGTTACTTCACTTGAGATGAAGTTCAAGCAGGTAATATTTGAGTTATCCTATAGCTGTAATATATGCTCACAAATAAAACTACAGTTGGTAAAGACTATGAAACCAACTGGAGACGGCATGTGCCCTCCAGAAGTTACACATGCCCATCACATTGAACAACTCATTAATGAGTGCGCAGGAATCTGTGACCTGCATGACACAGATTATGATGCTATTGAAGATGATGACAGTCACTCTGTCACCTCCAATCAGATCCAGGATGAGCGTGCCTCCCCCCCAATTCAGCACACAGCTGTTGCTCACACAGAAGCCCCCGTTCCACATTGCAATACTTGAGCAGCAGCAGCTTAGGGTAGTCTACCTCTATCAGTTTCTACTCTAGACCTTGTCTAGTGTAGCCTTACCTCTAGCTTCTGCCTTCTTGTCTTTTGGTCTTTCCATCTGTCTGTTCTGTCCACCGTTTCCAGCAGACTAAACCTCTATTTTCTGCCAGGAAAATCCCCTTCTGTCCAGCGGACTAATCCCCTGTTTTCCATCGACCTTTCCCTCTGTAGTTCTGTCAGACTAATCCCATATTTTCTGGCAAACTAATTCTCAGTTTCCCGCCAGCCTTTCCCTCTGTAGTGCTGTCGGATCCATCCCCTATTTCCTGCCAGACTAATCCCCTATTTTCTGCCAGACCAACCCTCCATTTCCTGCTAGACTGTCCCTTTAAAGCCCATTGGGATTTATTGTATTCCACCAGGCTTTGTTTCTAGCCTTTGGAAATTAAGGGCATGTACTCGGGTAAGGGGCGCAGTGCATGAGCTGAAGCCAAGCCCTTCGGATCTGCCCCTTGAGCACAGTCTTAACAACAGGCTACATTACAGCCACAAGAGTATCTCAGCTTGTGCTCTTGAGCAATGTGCGAAATAATAATCCCGACAACAGTATATGGAAAATAGCTACCAAGAGGTAAGCCTACCACATATTGCAGTAACATATCTCCGTATTATATGAGTGAACAGACGGGCATAATATCCCATACAATATGGGCCAGCGGACCATGGGCCAAAGGTAGAAATATCCTCGACTATGACGGATGGGCCGGGAGTATTATTATTCCAAATGGAGATGGGTGGGCCCATGTGGGGAGTATGTAGAGTAGATGAGTGGGCCGATGGACATGAATATTCTATAGACGGATGGGCCGAGGTGGTTGGATATTATGTAGATGGCTGTACCAAGGTAGATGTGTATCAAATAGCCGGGTATGTGAAGGGTGCTTGTTATCACATAGATGGGTGGGCCCAGATATATATCATATTAGATGGGTGGGCCGAAGAATTAATATTATTTTGTAGACGGGTGGGCCGAGGGAGTGGTGAAATATTTATTATATATACGGGTGGGCCGATGTCGGGGTATATAATATAGATGGGTGGGCCCAGGAGAATGATAATTGTAGACATGGCAGAACTCAGATAGTTGTATATCATCCAAATCAAAGGAGGTGATAATTCAAAGTCATCTAATGATGTTGTATGGCATGGAGCTTTGCAAAGGGGTGAAGTGGAAACTCGTGTTCCAGGCCCTGTTCATCAAAGCTTTGAGATGGAAGATGAAGGTCTTGCAGTATGGCACGGAGCTTTGCAAAGTGGTGAAGTGGAAACTCAAGCAAAGTGGACCGAGTTCTGAGACCCGGGTCTCGACAAACAAATATGTGATATCCAGCACACTTCCAATCATCTGGTATTTCATTGAGCAATGGATGATAATAGATCTTTGAAAGCCAACATCATCCAAGCCAACCAAATGCCAAATGCCAAGTTCCAACTACTGAAAATTGAGTGAAGTGTAATGAGATCTGAGCCCCAACGATCGAATCACGACTATTGAGTCCCGACTATCGAGTCCCAAAAATCGAGACCCGAAACCCGAAGCCTGAGATTCAAGACTAGAGACTAGAAACAAAACTCAATACTCAACTCAAAACTTGAAATTTATACATGTTTACAAGTTTCGAGTCCCGAACATCAAGTCCCGACCATTGGGACCCGAAACCCGAAGCCTGAGATTCCAGACTCAAGTCCCGACTATGGATCCCGGGTATCAAAAATTGAGTGAAGTGTACTGAGATCTGAGGGACGGGTCTTGACCGAGTACTGCCTCCCTTGTATTGAGTACCGAGTCTTGAGTTAAGACTATTGAGATTAAGCTATTGAGATTAGGGCATTGAGATTGGGCTATTGAGTTAAGCGAAACCCAAAACCCGGTACTACCAAACTCAAAACTCAAAACTCGCCAAAATGTATAGGACGTAAAATGTGTATTTCATCACACATTTGAAACACCAAGTACCATGTACCGAGTACTGAAATCCAACCCCTGAAACCCGAAACTCAAAACTCAAAACTCTTCACCGAGTAGCAAGTACCAAAATCTGAAACCCGGTACTACCAAACTCCAAACTCCAAACTCACAAAAATGTATATCATGTAAAAAAAACTTGAAACTCGTAGAAATGTACAAGTTTCAAGTCTTGATTGACCAAGTACCAAGTACCAGGTGCCGGGTGCCGAGTGCCGAGACTGGAGACCCGAGACCCGGGACTACCAAACTCCAACCTCCAAACTCGCAAAAATGTATATCATATAAACAACTCAAAACTCATAGAAATGTCGAAACTCATACATTTCTACGAGTTTCGAGTCTTGAATGACCAAGTACTGAGTACCGAGACCCGAGACCCAAGGCCCGAAGCCCGAGACCCAAGACCTGGGACTACCAAACGCCAACCTCCAAACTCGCAAAAATGTATATCATATAAAAAACTCGAAACTCATAGAAATGTACGAGTTTCGAGTCTCAAATGACCAAGTACTGAGTACCAAGTCCTGAGACCCGAGACCCGAGGCTCGAGGCATGAGGCACGAGGCCCGAAAATCAAACTACACCCGACACCCGAAACCTGGGACTACCAAACTCCAACTTCCAAACTCGCAAAAATGTATATCATATAAAAACTCGAAACTCGTACATTTCTGCGAGTTTCGAGTCTTGAATGACCAAGTACTGAGTACCGAGACCCGAGACCCGAGAACCGAGGCCCGAAAATCAAACTTCAAAACTCTTACCAATGTACCAGTTTCAAGTCTGTAGTCGATACTTGGTAGTTGAGACTTGGTAGTTCAATGGTCTATACTCGATTGTCATAACACGATAGTCTATACTCAATAGTCTTAACTCGATAGTCTGATACAAGTACCGAGTACCGAGTACCAACCTCCAAGTACCAAACTCCAAAACCCGAAACCCGATACCACACACTTGGTAGTTGATGCTCGGTAGTTGAGACTCGGCAGTTGAATACAATAGTCTATACTCAATAGTCTTAACTCAATATAAGGGAGTCAGTACTCGATCCAAGGGAGTCGGTAATCCAGTACCCGGTACAAGGGAGTTGTACTCGGTACAAGGGAGTCGGTACTCGGTACAAGGGAGTCGGTACTCGGTACAAGGGAGTTGGTACGCAGTACAGGGGAGTTGGTACTCGGTGTACCGAACATACTGGCGCTAGCCTCACAATTGGCTATCTTGATGATATTGGGAACCAGTGCACTTTCCATCCATTCCCCACTATGCCCAACGTCACCTGTACCCGACCCGATGATAACCCGATACCCTGCACCTTAGGTGTAGACAGCGCTATTACATGTGCTTCTCATAGTCCGCAGTACCTCATGTCTTTTTACATATTACCTTCGGACTATCCGCTATCTTCGCCTATAGGACTCCGGATTTCTATGTAGCTACTTATATAAGGACCAAGGGACTCTCACAAATAACTTACCTTTCTGTAGAGGGGAGTTCCCTAATACATTTGGTCCATGACACCTTGACACCTTGACACCTTGCCCAATACACCCAGTTACCCACTCCTTATAGTCCGAACCTCTGCCATTCCTTTATTTCTGATTCATCTCATCTGTTCCCGACGATATCCACTCATTGTCCGTCCCGTACCATTATCACCCGTTGAGTCCACAGTTCCCGCGCATCAGACCCACACTTTCCCGCGCATCGGACTACCCGATTTACTCAGGACCCGACATTTTGACCTTCGGGTTATCTTCTCTTTGACCGAAAGGACACTAACTATCATTCTTATATCAGACAGCAGACCCCTTTAGGGTCGAACTAGCCTTAGGCTAAGCAAGACCCACATAGATATTTGGTAGGCTTACCTCTTGGTAGCTATTTTCCATATACCGTTGTCGGGATTATTATTTCGCACATCGGTACAAGGGAGTCGGTACTCGATCCAAGGGAGTTGGCACTTGGTACAAGGGAGTTGGTATTCAATACAAGGGAGTCAGTTCTCGGTACAAGGGAGTTGATACTTGATCCATGGGGTCAGTACTTGGTACAAGGGAGTACGTACTTGATCCAAGGGAGTCAGTACTCAATATAAGGGAGTCGAGACTCAATACAAGGGAGTCGAGACTTGATACAAGGGAGTCGAGACTTGGAACTCAAGACTTGGTACTCAATACATGGTAGTTGAGACTCAGTAGTTGAATACAATTCTCTATACTCAATAGTCTCAACATTGGACTTCAATTATTGTGAATACACCTAAGCCTGATAATTATTTTGGTGAAGCTTATATCTTACCTATATTTTTGCCTTGACTGGCAGCACATATTTTGTCAAAACGGCTAAGCATCATAATGACATTTCATAATTGACTCACATGCAGGCCCCAATTATTTAAAACATCAAGATCTTATGATAAGATACTTGTTATATGTCTCACATATTCTAGCCATAGCCCACAAGTTTCAGACAGATCCATCAAGTATTGAGTGAAAGGGAAGCAAAGTGACATATGTGTGAAATGTAACAATTGACACCTATCACATAAAAGTCACATTTTCATATGATATAAATTTGATATTTTGTTAAATATTAGTAGGATATAGGTTACACTACATGAGGAACCTATACCACACTTTGCCCTGAGTGTGGAGGATGTGTGGAAGTGATTTGATGGTAAAGTAAGTTCATGCAGCATTAAGGTCCAACAACTACTCAAATGACCATTTTCGATGTTTTGGGTCTTTTGAGTTTCCCACACTCAATTTCTCATCCATTTCATGTCCTCAGCATTCAATTCTTGTTAGATCGTTCTGTAAAGTTAGGCCTATAATACTGAATATATTTGAAAGGTACTCCAGGTGTCTTAATATTAAATATCAATGTTTGGAAGGTATGAGCATCTTATCAGTAGAAACAGAGAGCATATACACTAGCTCAATCCTCTCGCCTATTTTGCACTGATCTTTAGAATACAATGTACATATATATGTACCACTAATGATATATGAGCAGGCTGGATTTTGTGTGCAAGTGTAATGGAGTGCAAAACATCAAAAACATCGAATTTATGATTGTGTATGATTTTGCTCCTGTAGAAGGATCCTATACATATTTTAAAGTAACTAAGCCATAGAAACACTAAGAATATGAATATGAATAGACTTCCTACCCTCCTTGAGGTCCGGTCCTACAGGACAAAATTTCACAGGGGTAAACCACCAGGAGAAGGTAGGTATACTGGATCACAGGGATTTGTCCACTCCCTTGTACCGAGTACCAACTCCCTTGTATCAGGTACCGGATTACCAACTCCCTTGGATCGAGTACCAACTCCCTTGTATTGAATACTGACTCCCTTATATCGAGTACCAACTCCCTTGTATCAAGTACTGAGTCTTGAGTACCGAGTGTCAACTCCCTTGTATCAAGTCTCAACTCCCTTGGATTGAGTACCAACTCCCTGCAAGTTGTACCAAGTACCGACTCCCTTGTATCAAGTACCAAGTCTCGAGTTTGGGCTATCAAGTTAAGACTATTGAGTCTCGGCTACCAAGTATTGAGTATCGAGTCTCGACTACCGAGTCTCGAGTCCCAACTACCAAGTACTGAGTTTCGAGTTTCGGGTATTGAGCACTGAGTCTCGACCACCATGTATCAAGTACCAAGTCCCGACTACCATGTATCGAGTCCCAGCTACCAAGTACCGAGTACCAAGTCTTGAGTTAAGACTATTGAGATTGGGCTATTGAGTATAGACTATTGAGTTCAGACTATTGTATCAGACTATTGAGTTAAGACTATTGAGAATAGACTATTGTGTTAAGACTATCGAGTATAGACCATTGTATTCAACTACCGAGTCTCAACTTTGGGCCTCAGGTCTCGGGTCTCGGTATCTGGTCATTCAAGACTCGAAACTTGTACATTTCTACAAGTTTTGAGTTTTCTATATGATATAAATTTTTGCTAGTTTGGAGGTTGGAGTTTGGTAGTCCCGGGTTTCAGGTGTCGGGTGTAGTTTGATTTTCGGGCCTCGGGCCTCGAGCCTCGGGTCTCGAGTCTTGGTACTCGGTACTCAGTACGTGGTCATTCAAGACTTGAAACTTGTAGAAATGTATGAGTTTTGAGTTGTTTATATGATATACATTTTTGCAAGTTTGGAGGTTGGAGTTTGGTAGTCCCGGGTCTCGGGTCTCGGGCTTTGGGTCTCGGGTCTCAGTACTTGGTCATTTGAGACTCGAAACTCGTACATTTCTATGAGTTTCGAGTTTTTTATATGATACACATTTTTGCGAGTTTGGAGGTTGGAGTTTCGTAGTCCCGGGTTTTGGGTGTCGGGTGTAGTTTGATTTTCGGGCCTCGTGCCTCAAGCCTCAGGTCTCGGGTCTCGGTACTTGGTACTCAGTA